AAGGGCGTTCAGCCCGTTACACCCGTTACAATAAGCGCTATATTTATTATAGATTTAAAATAAGCTTTTAACTAAAAAATTAATAGACTATAGAATAGTATTACTACTAAAAAATACTAAAAAATAAATAGAAAGCGTCTAGATTTATAGTAGTATAAAGAGTATTATAGCTTTATAGTAATATAAATCTCTTAATTAGTAAGAGAGACTAGAGTCTTTAAAGTAGCAGAATAATAGTAATACTATATACGCTAAAAAAGTATAATACTATACTACTATAATCTTTTAAAAATCTTATAATAGATAAAGTATAGCTAAATAAAAAGCTTTATTAATTTAGAATATAAAAAAACTAAAGTAGCGTAATATTATAGAGGCTAAAAGTAGTAGTAGTAATATATTACTAGCTACTAAGCCTCTTATTAAAACTACTACCCGCGGCTATAGTATATAGTTACCTAGTAAATTTTAATAGATAGATATTAAATAAATAATTATATAAGTACTCTACTAAAAAATTCTATAATAATAACGTTTTAGTAGTAGTTAAAAGCTTTAATGTTTCAAAGGCTTATATTTTAGTAGGGTGTTGCATTGGCTAAACTATTATATTGGGTGAGCACGGACGGTAACGTGTCCGTACACCTTATGCACGGATTCATCTCGTGCACGCCGAACACTAAACGCGCGTCTTAGCGTTATAACTTTAACGCGCTATAACTTAATAACTATAGCTCTAATTAATAATATAATTATAGATTTAGAGTTATAAGAATCTAGAGAAAAACTTATATTAGTAAAGTTTATAAGAAAATAAAGTATTAGCTACGTAACTCTATTACGGAGATAGAGATATATAATAAAGTCTAGAAGTAATAGATATACTTAGTAGTAAGCTATTAGCTTATAATAAAAGCTAAAGCTTATAAGATATATTAAAATACTTATAGAGAGAGACCTTTCTCCTATATAAGAGATAATTAGAAATTTCTTATTAGAAGTAGCTTATTAGTAACTTAGTAAGAGCTAGATTACTTACTTTATTAACTAATATAAAATCTATTTTATCTTAAAGTAGACTAGCGCTATAGATTATATATACTATTTAGATAATTCTAAGTTAAAGTATATACTCTACTTTAAGCTACTATATTAAAAGATTACTAAATACTACCTTAAGACTTAAGATATATATAATATAGATAAAAAAGGCTTCTTAATTAGATTAATAAGTAGAAGTAAAAGAATCTTTAGTAGGCACTAATAGAAGAAAAAGAAAGTTTAAGTATCTCTCTAGGATAGATTACGTAAGTTTCTAATAGTTCTAGGCTACTACTACGCTAATAGAAGTTTACTATCTTTAAGCCTTATCTATATAACTATAAATAGAGCTATATAATTAAGTTAGATAGAGAATATTAAAATAAAAGAATATAAAATTTTTATCTTATTATCTTTAATAGGCTAGTTAAATAATAATATAGACTTAGCTTAGCTAGAGTAGATTTTTAATTACTATATAAAGTAGTAATTAGGGAGATAGTAATTACTTATTTATAATAGTTATGAATTTTATATTATAATAACTAGAGTTTATTAAATACTATAATTACTATAGAATTCTTTTTATAATTCTTTCTTTCTATTTAACTTATACGCTCTAGATACTTAATATAGTACTATTTAAGCTACTCTCTTAAGTCTACTTTAATAAGCTTACTAACTATCTCTATAAAGCTTAAAACTTTATCCTAATTAAAAAAGAAGACTTCTTCTTACTCTTCTAGAGCGCCTAGATATCCTCCTTTATAGAGAGCCTTTTATTAAAGACTTTTAAAGCTACTAAGATTTAGCTAATAGATACTAATATTATCTTTTAGAGATTGACTAGTACGCTAAAAGCTAAGAGAAGCTTATTATTAGGGCTCTCTAATTATAACTAGAGAAAGCTTAATTAGTTAGTATAAGCTACTATTAATAATAGCTATTAGAATAAAGTTAGAAAGCTATACTTAAATATTTATTATCTCTCTATATAGTATAAAATTTTATAGTATAATAATAAGAGCTTAAAGAAGACTCTTTAATATAAAAAGAAGTATAAGAAGAAGAATAAAGCTTTTAACTTTTAATAGTACTAGAAGTATTTTAGTAGTATAGTTTACTAGTTTTCTTATAAGCTATATAAGGCTTAAGCTAGAGAAGTAGTATAGAAGTAAGATAAGATAAAGAAGAAACTCTAAAAAGTATAAGTTAAGAAGTAGTATAAGAAAGCTTAACTATAGTATTAAGTTAAGCTTAAAGAGAGGCATATAGAGAGATAGAGACTTAAGAAGATAAGAGAGTATAAGTAAGCTAAGAAAGTAGCTAAACATATACGCTAGAAGAAGAAAAAAGACGCTACTAAAGCTCTTTAATTATTCTAAAAGAAAAAAAGAAAAGTCTTATAAGTATTCTTAGTAAGTATTAAGTATTAGAAACGCGTTAGGGCTACTTACGCTAGTATTTAAGTTTAAGAAGAGCCTTTAGCTTCTCTACTAAAGCTTATATTATATAGCTATAATATTAACCTTCTATAAAAGTTTAGATGGTAGAAATTAATTATAAGTATCTATTTACTATAATATTACGTTTTTATAAATATTAAGCTATTATATAGCGTTGTACAGCCTTATTTTTGAGATCGCTAAGATGGTGTTCGGCGTGCACGAGATGAATCCGTGCATGAGGTGCACGGACACGTTAGCGGCTGGCATCCCGACAAGTGACAAATGCACTTGAACACATTAGGCGAATTCCGGACTTTAGGTTTTGCTACGCTTCCAAACGGCCTACAGTGAAGTATGTGATATATCTGTGATGACGATTCAGATGCAAATAGCCAATGCATAGAGACGCTACGTAGAGTCACCCTAATGCGGAGTCCATCCTTGTGTGCCTTTCGCATTGAGCCGAATCTTGCTTTCCCGCCAGCAACGAGACTATCGCAATGCAAGACCCGAGAACAATGTATTCTGGTACCACAGGCGGCACAAAATTAAACACGTCCGTTTCAGATAGCGATGCAGATGTTGCGTCCGACAACACTTCCATGACTACCAAGAATGCGGATGGAACTTTCGGGGCTCCGGTCGCCGATAACCGCAAGGAACAGTTTCTCGAAGTATGGAAAGAGTGGTCTCTATCAATGAAGTGCATTGGCTCTTTCGCAGCTATCGGAGTAGCTGTGATGGCGAGTATTGGGGCTTCCTCCATGTTTGCCCCAATGCTGATCTCTGTCAACGAGTCTATCAGCCTTGATCTCAACATTGTTTGGGTGTCTTTTGCCAGCAACCTTGCCCAAGCAGTCATGTTGATTACGACTGGTGGGCTCTCTGATATGTTCGGCCGGTGATACTTCCAAGTCTTAGGCAGAGCTATGGCTCTCATCGGTTGTATCATCGCTGCCACAATCAAAATAGTCAATGTATTCATCGGCGCAAACGTGCTCATCGGTATTAGGTTATTGACTCAGATCTCCTTTTTCTATCTCATCTCGGATCTTGCACCAATGAAATACCGCTACTTCGCGTCAAATTACATTTATGCACTTCTGATACCTGTATCGGGCGTTGTGCCAGCCGTGGTAACTTCTTTTGTTGCTAGTGGCCCTGGCAGTTGGAGATCTTCTTACTATAAACCTATCGCTATCAATATTTTGACTCTATGCTGGGCGGCATTCTATCACTCGCCGTCCTAGGGCTATCTGGTAGCCAAGAAGTTTGGAGAGACCCGAGAAAAGAAAAGCACACTTCAAGACATCGACTATGGAGGCTTCTTTCTGCTATCATCTAGAATTCTCCTGTCTTGCTAGGAATCTCGGGGAGAATCATTATACCCACGTCAATCTGCAGCGGTTCTATGCACCATCATCATTGGCAGCGTTATACTAGTCGGCTTCATCTTCCGCGAGCGACATTGTCCGAAATCGTAACCTCTTCTACCCGTGGCAATGTTCAGGAACACATAACGGGCGGCAGTACTACTCACAATGTCTCGCGCAGCTAGCGTGTATTATGTCTTTAATATTGCCCTCCCGACGTAAGTTACAGTCCTCCATAGCCCGGATAGCAAATCAAACAAGGGTTGGCTCAAATGCATCATTACAGCCCTTCCATTAGTAGGAAAACTCATCGCGAGCTTGCTAGCTACCTGCATCGAACACATGAAATGGTAGCTCGTTGCTACTGCAAGCATCGGTGCAGTACTATACAGTCGACCTCCGAATCATCGCAGGCCCCGTATGAAGAGTGAAATTTGATTTCCTAAGATAACTGGCAAACCTCGCCGCTGGAGGTTTTGCCCTGGGCTAGGTGGATGCCCTTTGTTTCACTTTTTTGTCTATTACCTTGGAAGAACAGAGCGTGACTTGTACGGGAGTCAGCATTGCTACTTCGCTGAGGACATTCATCTCCACCTGCTCAGCAACTATCTTTACCACTGTTCTCAACAACCGTCTCGTGCCCATGATACCCCAGCCGGTACCCTCGGCGTTGACTGAAACTGGGTTGCCCGCCGCATTTGTATCAGTTGTGTGGCTGATGAGTGTGTTCCAAAGTCTGCTTGCTTTTGTTCCTAGAATAAACCCCAAAATCACTGTCATGTTAATAGGAATAATTGAGATAGCCAATGGGCGCGCTGACTTACATTTCCCTTAACAACCATGGCCTTCCGTAAGCTGAGGGTCATTGCTAATTTTATAACCCCGGAGATTTTGTCCAATTTGCATGGAAAAATGGCAAAAACAATTTAACCTTCCTAACTTGAGCTATTTCAATCTGCGGGACAAAAGCTTCAGTGTCGTGTGCCCGATAGCCTATCCCTATTATCGAAATGGGGGTATGCCGGCTATGGTGCTCCGATGTCAGACAAAAGGTTTCACGATGATCGAGTCATATGTTCGACTACAATCATGATGTTATGTTTCATCAACTGCCCTAACAATTTAGATCCATCAACTTGCGTTGTCATCTTGTTCCTTCAAACCTCCTTCTCTTTCCAAAGATCGTCATGGCTTAGACGGCCCGTGAGCGCGAGGTTGCTAGTCTGAAACTCGAGATCTTCAGCAGCGAGCCGGTTCTTCATGTCTTGCCAATCCACACTTCTCCACTCCTTTCCCTCACGGTCAACGAACACGGCATCTATATCAGGTCTCGTGAGATATACCACAGCTAACTTTCTCTTGCTCTTCTCTGTAGGCTGCGGGATAATACGGTGGAGTGACGTCCGCAGCAAACTTTTGGACAAGAACTCGGACAAATCATCGATATCGCACACAATATGGCCTAGTTTCGGCGGGATGAACATCCACTTTTTCTTTCCAGGATGATAAACCTGGAAACCACCCACATCAGAGAATACCATGAAAAGAATCTCGAAGTCGGTGTGTGAGGCGTGGCGGACTTCCTCACTTTCAGGTTCGTGATGTAGGTACTTGAGAAGTCCGAGGGCGGAAGGAAAGGCGTGGCATTTGCGGTGATGCTTGGCAAGGTTCTGTTTGTCGCCCAAATTTAGGGATCGTGACAAGCTGTCCAAAATGACTCTTCCCATATCTTCCAATGTGTGGTTCATAGTTTAAATGTCTCGCGTCTCTGCTGGAATTCCTTCGCTAATTTAACAGTCTCATGACGAGGAGCATTATGCAGCACATGCTCGAATATCTATACAGGTTTAGTTGAAACGTCAAGATGTTATTGCATCGGGAATGTGATATTAAGACTCATAAGAAAGCTCCAAATCCATCGCTGTTACTGGCGACAGATCCGATCTGAATCCCAGTGGGCTTGTATCTATCGCGCCAACCGCATTGACTTTCTCGGTCTTTCCAAGAGGTTCATGTAGTGTCTTACCCGCCCAAAACTTCCTCTCCGGAGATATGATCCTTGTTAAGCTCCCATGTAGATCTCTCTTTCTGCGGTGGTTGGTAGAATTGCAGCGCTGTCAATGTAGCCATCTCGATCTGTTTTGTAACCTCACGAGCAGGATGATTTCTCACATCAAGATAGAAAAACCCCAGATCCTTTGACGCATTTAGTAGAATCTCCTCTGTCGCCCTATTGCAATCCATTATCTTGTCAATAGATATTGTAACGTGTTCCGCATTTTCACAATGCGGCCCCGGTCCTTGCGCCACATGGTCGACGTCAATATCAGCGTGGGGTGCCATCGCAAACAAAGAAATTGGCTTGAAATAAGAATCTAAATTTGTCTTTGTCCTTGCCAGGATTGCGAAAAATGGAGATGTTCGATGAATTAAACAGGCTCGTTGAATTAGTGTGTCAATAGTAAAACAGGGATGTGATACTGCGAAGCTAACACGTCCAAGGTCAACTTTGGTGTCCATGAAATTCTTTTGGTGTCCGCTACGAGACTTTGTTACTTAGTCTTTTCAGAAGAGCGATTATAATAGTATCTCTTCATTTAGTCATATGTGGTGTTGTGCAAAATCCATGCGATTGCAGTTACTTGCGGAATTTCTGGAAAGGGCGATTTCCGATAAGAGTCGGGTTGGGCCACAAGCAATGTTGGCGTCATGCAGCCGAGTGGTGTGCACAGTTAATTGCCGACACTTAGTTTACGGAATAATCATCACACACTTGACAAGGGTTCTCATCATATTCAAATGTGAATATTATTCGGCTAGGCGTGCAAATCATGTCTCACACTCCTCATAATGTTTGCCATAACTAGAGCCAGTCTAAACTTGATATTCTAACAAAGTGAAAATAGCCCTGGACTCATTGTTTCCATATACGCACCAGTCTATTACATTTTAGTAGAATGGCGCAGCCCATCTTCTTTTAGATACTAAAATCCTTTTATTACAATACTAACTAATTCACAAGTTTCAGGATTTGAATCTCTTCTCCTTAGCTCTAGCCTTCGGGGACACCTTTTTAGAAGAGTATTCTAAGTTGTATTAGAATCAGTAAAATAGTTACTACGCGCATCTAGTACTAACTTTATCTCAATACTATCATTCTTCAGTATTAATTATTTCATGCTTTACTATTAATAATATTACGCGCCTTGTTACACGGGGCCTGGAGTGCCAACCCTATCCTCAATCCCTGACAGGATTAAGGTCAAAATCGACCTTAATCCTAGATTTCTTGGCGACTTTGCAGACCTTAATCCTGCAGAAAAGGATTAAGGTTAGAATAGCTAAAAAAATATGTATAACTTCTATCATAGATGC